TTATTGTATTACATTAGATTTATCAAAATATCATTTCAAGTATCAGTGAAAATTACAAATCTGTGAGATGGTTCATGTTCTTCATTTTGCATGTGCAGTGATCGAAAGTCAGTGTCCATTCAAAATTCCAGCCCATTTAAGTGTGAACTAACCACAAGTTGGATGTTCAGTGATCAAATGTGTCTGGTGACTACTGTATCATACAGCACCCCAGTATCTACCTGATTTTACAATCCAAATTATAATGCACTGAAAATGAAAGGTGGTGCTATTAGTAATTGTTCTAGGTCAAAATAAAACCCAGACAAGTAATCAACTAATTAAAAGAGTGGGACAATTTCCTATCTGATAAGAAGTACTGAAGCCATGCAAAGTTTAGAAGATTACAGATTTAAATATAATTAAATTTAAATTTTGGGCCTCAGAGATAGCTCAACAGTCTAAGTACCTGCCTAGGAAAGTGCAGGAACTTAAATTCAATCTCAGGCACCACGTGCCTTGCTGGCAACACCCAAGAGTACACTGAGCCAACTATAGAGATGAGGGGTGGTGGCACATGCCTGTAATCCCAGTGCTGCGGAGGCTGAAGCAGGAGATCACTAGGAGTCCAAGCTGTGTGGTAAGACCCTGTACCAAATGAATAAAATTAAACAAAAATTTTAAGTTTGTATGCACATATGTATATACATAAAAATGTTAGACACATAAATATAATCTAATATTTTATGTATTTGCAATTTAATATATATACATATATACTGTGTTATATATATACATGCTATATAAAGAATTATATGCATTTGCATATAAAATAATTTTTATTTTGTACATATAAATTGAGAGAAAATCTTTGTTTATTGAATTGCCTTTAATTTTAAAACAAAGGCACACAGTTTCACAGGCTAATATCTATTTTTATTTTATGGAAAGGATTATAGGTTATTCATAGTACTTTCAGCCACACAAATTTGTGCCTAATAGCAACCTAAAAGTGATGCCATCTTGAAATTAAAGGTCATTATATATGATGATACCAATTGAGCAAAGACTCATGGTCTTATACAATTGATGTGTTATGATAGAAATTTACCTAAATCATCCCAGACATTTCCAATTAAATGCTTGTTAAGAGTATTAAGCTAATATTGCATCTTTGCTGTTTCACAATGTCCTTTGCTAAACTATAATATATTCAGGGTAAAAGTTTTATTTCTTTTAATACTTTAAATTATCATGCAGGATGAAGTCAACCGGATGTCAGCACTTCAACCCCAAATCGAGCGATTAAAAATTCAAAGCATAGCCTTGAAAGAGAAAGGACAAGGGCCAATGTTCCTGGACGCAGACTTTGTGGCCTTTACAAATCATTTTAACCAAGTCTTTGCTGAAATGCAGGCCAAAGAGAAAGAGCTACAGACAAGTAAGTAAAAATACTTAAAAGAGCTAAATGAAGTTTTTCAAATTATTTGTGGGAAACAGAAAGTACTAACACAAAAGAATAACAACTGTCAATGGAATCTTCCTACCTATAACTTCTATTAACAAGGAATGAATTACTTGTGCTGGAATATAGATACATTAGAGTTCTCTACCATAATAATTTCAAGATTTTGTTTAGAACAAATAAAACATGCTTTCTATAGACATAGTTACTCCTTGGTGGTTTGCACATATGAGAATCAGTCATTTTGAAAAGTAAAGAGAATAAAAGCATAATTGAGATAGTGCAAGTGGACTTTCATTAAATCCAGTTTTCTCTCTGTTCGAGGATATTTATGTAGGTGTTTCTGATACTTTAAGCAATAGATTTAGAAGTATAACTACTGCATACATGTGGATAACTGAAATTCAGCAACAGACAATTTTTTGGACTACATTTTACTTTTTAATCCATATAATTATAACAATCCTCCTTTCCTTCTTTAATGATAAAATAAAATATAAAAGTGGAACAATTATGCAAACACACACCATGTAACTAATAAATTTTAGGATGTCTCTTTTATCACTCGTTTATTCCTGTGATATTAATATATACTTTGTGCTAAAAATATCTCTACACATAATTTTAAGTATTAAGACCAAAATTTCTCTGAAAGATGTTTTCATGAACAGTTTAACACAATAGAAAATTAGTTTCTCTCCCACCATACATGTGTGTGCATATATTTATGGTCACTCACCAAAGATTACAGAGTATAATGAGGAGTTGAGGCACTGAGATCAAATATTTTTATAAAATTTCCTTCTCTAAATTCAAGATGGGAAGTACAAGAATGTGTTTGTTTTCTATCAAAACTTTAACTTATTGAGAAACTTCTTTTCCTATTGTTTTCCTTTGTAAATATTCAAACTATTTATATAGAATTAATACATTGAAATACATGAATCTTTCTTCATATCCTAACTTTTTAGTTTTATAAAAATGGAATGATGAATATACAACAAAATGTAAAAATAGATTTTTCTTATATTTCAAAGTGGTTTTGCTAAGTGGTTTATTTTTTTGGTAGGGAATCTAGTAGTGAAACTTTAAAATAATATCAGCTCCCTCTAGTGGATTTCATTACACTCGTTTGTGTGCCTCCGTAATTCAACTGGGAGAAATCTTTTCAATGTCTCAATTTTCTGAGCATTATTTAATAGTAATGTATTTGATGTTCTCAATAAATCCATAATCCTTCCTAACATCAAGCATTCTTTAATGACTATTCTGTGCCTGGTGGGCAAAAGAGCCTTTCACTAGAAAAGAAAATATATGCCTATTAATTATATTAAAGTTTAATCAATTTCAGCTTAAAATTGTTCAGAATGTCAATGATTCATACTTGAGATTTCTCTGTGCTCCTACGATGAACTTTCTACCTAAACAGTCATCAGTCCATTTATATCATCCTTTCTGTTTAATACAAACTTAAGATGATTTTTAAAAATAAATTTTCCAAGCTTTTCACTCAGTTATCTCCAAATGAAATGGATTCTCCTCTACTTTATTTACTAAAAAACTTCTGATATTTGATCTTATCATTTGCAATAATTGCCTTAGTTGATTGCTCCTGCACTATTATAAAAGTCACATAGTAAAAGAAATCTATAATATTAAATCATATTTCTTTTTGCTTAGTTAATTTATAAGTATTTCAAATAATTACACATATATATGATATACTCCTAAAAAAGCACCAGAAAGTAAATTTCAATTTTCTGATTATTCCACACTACTTTCAACATATTAAGGAATCTGCAAAATGTTTAACATAAGCACCTGACCATCTGTGCTAACTTTGATTTCCTTTAAAAAGTTTTCCTACCCTGGATTTCTTACAATGGAAAAATCTTTTAAAATTTAATGTTTGTACCCTTGCATAAGTGCCATGAGAAGATAATTTTTTATTATTTATTTATTTATTTTTGCGGAACCGAGGATTGAATTCAGGCCCTTGCACTTGCCAGGGAAGTGCTTATTCCACTGAGCCATCTCTCCAGCCCCAAGAAGATAATATTAAAAGACAAAATGCATACTCTAGTCCTATTGCTTGTCATTCTATGAATAAACTCCATATAAATTATTTTACTTAGTTCCCAGAATCAACCCTTGAGTATGTATTTTATTATTCAAATGTCACATATGAGATGATGGGAGTTCAATCACTGAAAACATGATGGTAGAATGGTAGGAGAAGTATACAGTATATGTGAATTTCATAATGTTATTCATAATTGATAAAGGAGCAGACTGATTTTCCATCAACTCATAAATATATGAAAAATGTCTATATCCATAAAATGTGATATTATTTTGTAATAAAACAAGAATAAAAAAGTAAAACATGCTACAACATGGCTGAATCTAGTGAAAGAAGCCAGTCACAAAAAAACATGTATTGTGTGATTCTACTTATATGAATTATGCATAATAGGTTAATGTGTAGAGAAAGCAAAAGTATATTAAAATTTGCCTAGGTGAAAAAGACTGAGGAGGTAAAGTTAGCTCCCAAGACAATTGCTAAGATACTTTCCTAGAAACTCCAAACCAGAAAAGCTAAGTTCTTTCCTAGATAAATATTAAAAACGTAAGATCTAGTGTATAGTCTGGCTTAGTGATACACACCTGTGTCTCTATTACTTTCCTTTTGTTGCTGGGACAAAATACTTGACACCCAAAATTAAGGAAGGAAATGTTTATTTAGCTCACAGTTAGTGGATTTTTCTGTCCATACTCATCTGGCTCCAAGGCAGAGAGGCACATGGCAGAGGGTAGCAGTTCATGTCAATGGACAACAGCAGAACAGCAAGAGCAAATGGGAGGAATAATGGCAACAGTGGCTACAGACAGCAAGTATGTCTCTCTGTCTCTCGTACATTGTATTCAGCCTATCCACCTAAATCTGGGTGTAGCACTCACACCCATATTCCCAGCATTGGATCATGAATTAATCACAAAGTCTAGAAGTCAGCCCCACAACTGCATGAGGCTTTGGTGGGACAACTATATACAAACTGTAACATCTTGCACCTTGACTCCTAAAGATTCATGGATATCCCTTTGTGAAAAAGGCATTTTAATCCAACTGTAAGTTGCCAAAGTCCTAACAGTTTTCAGCATTGTTGAAATGTCCAAGTTCCAAGTCTCCTCCAAGGTCTAAGACAAACTCAGCTATGAGTCCCTGTACAAATGAAATGTTAAACACTTGCAACATTCAGTGGCACAAGATAAACATTACCATTCCCAAAGATACATACAGCAGGTTACCAAGCTCTGGGACCTAAGCAAGTCCAAAATCCAAAAGGGTGAACATTAAGTCCTATAGTTCCATGTGGAACATCTGAAGCAATTTGTGATGAGTTGTGAGCTCCAAAGGCCTTACATGACTGCCCCTAAGACACTCCTGGTAGTAGCTCCCATTGCTTCTCTACTATGTTGGCTTTGTTCCCTCCTTGCAGTTTCCCTTACATGATCCACATTCCTGGCTTTTCCAAACTTCTGTCATTCTACTACATGATAAGCTTCTCACTCTCTGCTTCACTCACTGACCTCTCAGAGGCATACTCCCTGTACTGCCAGGCCTTCTGAAGTTGAGGTGAAAGCCTTCTGAAGCTCAGAACTCTTGCATTCTTCCTGTGCCTAAAACTAACACCATGTGTATGATACCAAGGTTTGATGCCAGCTGAATAATAAATAGGTTTCCTTCTTTCTTGACTGTAGGGGTCAAGTGCCTAGATTGCTGAGCACCCAGACCCTGATTCCCAGAAACCAATTCTCTTTGCTGATACCATTCTGGAACATGACATTATACAGCTTTCTCCTCATGGCAAAGTTCCTTGCTCATGAAATTCTGAGGCTGCATAACTTGGAGAGCTGCTGCCTCCTGTGATGCCCTCAGGACATCCTTTCTAATCTCCATTTCCTTCCCAGCAATGGAGATCCTCTCAGATCTATCTTTGTAGTCCACACATTTATTGGCACTTCCGTTCTGGCCAAACTTACAGCATTTTAAATCATCCATCTGGGTTCTTTCCTCTTCATTCTGAATATATATCTGACTAAAAGCCTTCAGCAATAGCCATGCCACTACTTCAACACTTGACTGCCTTGAAATTTCATTTGCAAAATTAAGCAGTCTGTCATGCATAATCTCATCCTCAGACAAAATCTCTGGAAATGAGCAAAATGCAGACAAACTTTCTGCGAAGCCAAAATACACATAGTCTGGAGTCTAACTGACAATCGCAGTCCTTCATAGCAGAAACCTCCCCAGCCTGGTCTTTATATGCAGGATTTCTATCAGCCTTCTGGTCTTCTGAGTTCTGACGAAAATCTGCCATGCAGAACAGCTAAAGTTGTTCCAGAAATTCTCTAGTAGGTGACATCTCCAATGATTTCCTATCTCTTCCCACAAACCATTCTCAAAAGCCCATAATCCACATGATCAGATTTAGCCACAGCAGCAGCCCAATTTCTCTGGTACTTAATTATGTCTTAGTTACTTTTCTTTCATTGCTGGGACAAAATACTGGACACCCCAAAATGAGGAATGAAAAGTTTTTAGCTTATAGTTAGCGGAGGTTTCAGTCCATACTCAGCTGGATCCAAGGCAGAGTGGCATGTGGCAGAGGGTAGCAGTTCATGGCAATGGAAAATAGCAAAACAGCAAGAGCAAATGGGAGGAATAGTGGCAACAATGTCTGCAGAGAGCAAGCATCCTCTCTGTCTCTCTTATGTTGCATTCAGACTATCCACCCAAAGCTGGGTGCACAATTCACACCTACAATCCCAGAAGTACTCACATCCATAATCCCAAGAGCATTTACAACCATAATCACAGTGTTGGATCATGAATTAATCACAATGTCTAGAAGTGCACCCAATAAGTGTGTGAGGCTTTGAGGGGGACAACTAGACACAAACCATAACAACCT